TCATTTTTTTGAATTCTTATTTGTTCATTCTTTTCTGTGTGGTTGTTTCTTTCTTCCTTCTGGCCCACTCCATTGATGTGAGACCCAGCTTTCTTTCCATCACTATTGGTTCCCTGTGTATTTTTCTTCATTTCACTTATTGTAGCCTTCATTTTTTCATCTAATTTGCAACCAAAATCAACCAATTCTGTGAGCTTCCTGATTACCAGTGTTTTGAACTGTACATCTGACAGTTTGTCTATCTGTCGGTCCCTTAAAAGGATGTGTTCTGGGGCTTTCATTTGGTCTTCTGTTTGAGCCATCTCTCTCTCTTTTCTTTTCCCCCTTTGGTCTGCCCATGCCTGTTACAGTGAGGGGTGGAGTCTTAGGTGTTCACCAAGGTGGGGAACCCCAGTCCCTGGGTTGTGACGCTGTATGTGGGGGCGGGGCCAAGGGAACAATGGCGCTTGCTCCGTTCTTCATGAGACCTCAGTCCCTTCTGCTGCTTCCCCCCCGAGCAAACTGGGCCTCTCTTTTGCTAATTCCCGTGTGGGTGGGCTTGTGCACCCCATAGGACCCTCCGAGGACCTCTCCTATGAGGCTGGGTGTCTCTCTGTGCACCTCAACCCTCACAGGTGTCCTCAATCAGTGCCCCAAGGCTCTATTTACCAGCGCTGGGATCCTGGGTTGCACGCAGTACCTTGCTTCACAATCACTGCCTCACTGGGTCTGCCAGTTGCCACCCCTTGGATGGGATCTGCCAGCTGCCGCTTGCGCACTCAGGGTCCACCCTCTGTGGTCTTGCACACCCTGGATGCCTTTCTCCCCCTTGGATGCCTTACATGCCTGGTCCCAACGCTCTCTGCTCTCTGTGCCAGGACCCGCACCGGTTGCCTGACTCCGCCCCTTCTACAGGTCTGGATGAACGGGTCTATTTCAACTTCTTGGTTGTCCGACTTCCATTCAGATCAATTTTCTGTTAGTTCTGGTTGTTATTCTGTTTCTAAATTGTTTCTGTACCTATCTTGGTTGTGCAACGAGGCACAGTGCATCCACGTATGCCTTCATCTTGGCCAGAAGTCCAAAATGTTTTTAAGACTGCTACAGCCCTGGCTGGTATAGCTCAGTGGATTGAGCGCAGGCCTGTGAGCCAAAAGGTTGCCAGTTGGATTTCTAGTCAGAGCACATGCCAAGTCCCCAGGCTGGGGATGGGGGGCCAGGGAGAGAGAACCACGCATTGATGTTTCTCTCCCTCTCTTTTTCCTTCCCTTCTCCTCTGTCTAAAAATAAATAAATAAATTCTTTAAAAAAAAAGACTGCTATAATATTAGGAAAGGTATAAAGGAACTAGTTTAAGGACAATGTAGTAAGTAAAGAATGCATATGTTAATCCCTTTGGGCAACCACAAGAAGAAAAATAAAAGTATGTATAACTACATTCTAAAAAGACAGAAGCTGAAATAAAAATATTTGATTAATCCAAAAAAAGGCAGGAGAGAAAACAAAAAAAATGTTGAACAAATAAATTAGGAGAGTGGTAAATTCCTGAAAGTCTATTTCCTTTGCCAGATTGGAGAAGTTCTCCTCTACTATTTGTTCAAATAAGTTTTCCACTTGTTGCTCTTCCTTTTCCCCTTCTGGTACCCCTCTAATTCAGATGTTGGAACATTTAAAGATGTCCTGGAGGTGCCTAAGCCTCTCCTCATTTTCTGAATTCTTGTTTCTGCATTCTTTTCTGTGTGGTTGTTTCTTTCTTCCTTCTGGTCCACTCCATTGATGTGAAACCCAGCTTTCTTTCTATCACAATTGGTTCCCTGTGTATTTTTCTTCATTTCACTTATTGTAGCCTTCATATTTTCATCTAATTTGCAACCAAAATCAACCAATTCTGTGAGCATCCTGATCACCAGTGCTTTGAACTGTGCATCTGATAGGTTTGCTATTTCTTCATTACTTAGTTGTATTTGCTGTGGAGCTTTGATCTGTTCTTCCATTTAGGCAATTTTTTTTTGTCTTGACGCACCTGTTATGTATGAGGGGCAAAGCCTTAGGTGTTCACCAGGGCAGGGCACCCCAGTCACTGGGTTGTGATGCTGTATGTGGTGGCGGGGTCCAAGAGGGAACAATGGGGCCTGCTCCACTCTCTGTTGGATCCCAGTCCCGTCCACCACTTCCCCCAAGCAAACTGGGCCCTTCTGGTGCTGATTCCTGTGTGGGTGGGCCTGTGTATTTTCCAGGACCCTGTGGGTCTCTCCAATGAACTCTCTGTGAGGCTGGGAGTTTCTCCCGGCACCTCAACCCCACAGGTGTTTTCAATGGGTGTTTTGAGGCCTTATTTCCTGGCACTGGAACTCTGGGCTGCGTGGTCTATCTCACTCTCCAGTTTCACCTGGTTTATCTGCGCTCAAATGTGGGACTGCCTGCTCAGCCAGCCACCTGGTATACAGTGCCTCACTTCACAGTCGCCACCTCACTGGGTCTGCCCCTTGTCAACTGGCACCTGGAGTCTGCCAGCCACCACCTGCACGCCCAGGGTCTGCCTGCTGCCATTTTGCATGCCTAGGGTGCCTTGCGTGCCCAGTGCCACAACCTTCCTCTGCCTGGCCATCCAACTCTACCCAGCCTACCAGTCTGGATGAATGTGTCTATTTTAACTCCTTGGTTGTCAGACTTCCATACAGTTCAATTTTCTGTCAGTTCTGGTTGTTACTTTATTTCTAAATTGCTGTTGTCCTTATTTTGGTTGTGTCAGGAGGCACAGTGTGTCTACCTACACCTCCATCTTGGCCGTAAGTCTCTTGTTAAAATTTTTATAACTATGTTCATAAAGGATATGGGTTTGTGATTTTTGTTTTTTGGTAAAATCTTTGTATAAGAGTTATGTGGTCTCATAAAATGAGTTGGAAGTTGCTCTTTCCTTTCTACAGAACTCTGTGTAATACTGCTTTAATTTCTTAAATATTTAATATAATTCACCAGTGAAACTGTCAGAGCCTGGCATTTTCTTTGTGGAAATATTTCCACAAAGGACTATGTGGGAATAAAATTAATTCAATTACTTTAACAAATATAAAGGTTTTCTATGTGTTCTTTTTATCTTGTGTCAGTTCTAGCAAGTTGTATTTTTCAACTTCATTGAATTTTTCAATTTAAATCTGTCAAAGTCACTAGCAGAAAGTTATTCATGATATTCTCTTATTATTCTTTTAATGGCTATAGGATTTGAACTGAAAACCTCTCTTCCATTCCTGACAGTAATTTATGTTGTCTTTTCCTCTTGATTAGTCATGCTCACTGTTTAACAACTTTGCTGATCTTTTCAAGAAATTAACTTTGGCTTTATTAATTTTCTTTACTTCTTTTTTTATTTTATTGATTTCAGCTTTTATATTTATTATTTTTTCTTCTACTAAGAATAGTTCTTCTCTTTGAAATGGGAGAGAAATATGAGAGACATGAAAAAGAGGTGTAACAAAGTTTCTTTGTTAGTGTAGGCTTAAAAGATTTTAATTTGGTTCTTAGGACTCAGGCTTTTCCTCTACAAGTCATGGAGAAATCCACAAAAACAATGAAAGGTTATGCCTTTAGCCTAACCTGCTTGGCTATTACCTGAAGTAATGACTTCCCCATGCCTGCTAAGCCTCACTCATCAAGGTAGTGTCTTCTTGTCCTTTCCCTCACAACCCTTCCTGGCTCCTTTCCTTCATCCAATAATGTAATCACATCTAGATTAGAAATGAAGAGTCCTGCTTAACAGATAAGTATGACATGAAATTATGAGCCCAAAAGTCCTTAGATTCAGATTTGGTTAAGTTTATAATTAACTCTAGACCAAAATGGTATTTTATCAAGTCTAAGAGCAAAGAAATGAAAAATGTTGAAGAATACATTAAGATAACCTCAGAACCACAAGAATACACACCAGATCATTAAGAACAGGCCTAACATGATTTAAACTCACACAAGCTGTTGAGTGGCAGTCTTGTGTAATGGTTTAGTAACAAAATCTGGATTCAGACTGCCTGGGTTCACATACTACTTTTGTTGCTGTGTTACCTTCGTGCCTAAGTTTTATCATCAGAAATGAAGATAAAAATAGTATATTCCTCATAGAGTTGGGAGAATTAATTAATGATATACAATGCTTAGACTAGTTACATATGTACATATACATATAATATATGTGTACTAGGTATTAACTTTTATTAATACAATTTTGATAAGAGAATAATAAGAGGATTCCTATGACATTCTCATATCCTTTTTAGAATACTCATTCAATGTTACAAGGAAAAGTCCTTAGATTTTTAACTTTCAACTACAAAGTAGGTAGAATTAAGTGTCTGTTATAAGAAACACAATGCATATAAATATTTAACTGAGCATTAAATGAACTTTGTGGATCCATCTCATATTATAAAAGTTCAATAGGCTCTGATTTTTAGAGCGATTCAGAACCCCTTTCTCTAGGAATTCTCCATACAGGTGGATTAGAAATGACTGTTAGCCCTGATTGCGTGGCTCAGTGGACTGAGCATCAGCCTGTGAATCGAAAGATCTCTGGTTTTGATTCCCTGTCTGGGCACATACCTGGGTTGCCAGCTGGGGGCATGCAAGAGGTAGCCAGTTGACATTTTTCTTGCACATCAATGTTTCTACCTCTCTTTCCCCCTCCCTTTCCACTCTCTAAAAATAATTAAAATCTTTTTAAAAAATAAGTGTTAAGCATCTATATTAATTTTGAGCTCAAATATAATGTGAAATCTGGTTTCTAGCAATCCAGAATTAAAATATATCCCCTTGGATATTAAAGAAACAAGTAGAGTACAAAACCTGAAAAAATCTGAAGGACCTAGCATGATGGGAGTGATAAAATATTAAATGGAGGGACCTATTTCCAACCTAATAAAGCTTGCACCATTCCTTTGGAATAGAGAGACAGAATTTATATAGTTTCTCAAAGCACAGTCTGGAAATTGACAGTAGAGAATGCCAGTATAATTTGGAATAAATAAACTTACCTAGTGAAATAAAGTTGCTATAATTCTCCCACATTACATTCCTATATAAGTCCCTCTGAGCTGCGTCCAGAAATTCCCATTCTTCCTGTGAGAAGTCTATGGCTACATCCCCAAATGTCACTGAATCCTTAAAAAAAACACACACACACAAAAAACCCTCATGTATTATTTGTGAAAATAAATAAAATCTTTTTTTAAATGGAAAGGTATGATATCAAGGATTTCACTGCAGAGAACTAGCCACAAGCAGCAAATATGGCAGGGGTGAAATTTTATGACATGCATAGGAGATAGAAAATTAGTAGCCCTCAAGCAGAGTACTACATCTCTTGAATAATCCTGTGGCTATTGATAAGATTAAATTTTAACCACATATACCTGGAAATGAATAAAATAACCCTCAAAAGTCCCAACAAAATGAAACAGTGCACACAGCCTTCTGTAAGCTATATCTCTACCACAAATTCTAAAGAAATATGAGGCCTTCTACCTTCTTTTTCTATGAATAATCATGAAGAATATTGATAACAATTTCTCCTGAATATATTAGAAAATCTCAGCCCTGGCTGGCGTAGCTCAGTGGATTGAGCGCAGGCTGCGAACCAGGCATCACAGGTTCGATTCCCAGTCAGGGCACATGCCTAGGTTGCAGGCCATGGCCCCCAGCAACCGCACATTGATGTTTGTTTCTCTCTCTCTCTTTCTCCTTCCCTTCCCTCTCTAAAAATAAATAAATAAAATCTTAAAAAAAATCTCTAAGAACACAGACTCGAGTTCATCATAAGTCAAACTATATATAATCACTTTCCCTGTTATGACCAATTTTTTAGTAAACTTTAAAAATTTGGTACATGGTAGTCTACATTTTAAATATATGAAATTCAATCTTTTTTCTGTTTAGATGTTTTAATTCAACACAATTTCAAAAGTCTTCCTCAAGTATCATAGTCTATATTATCTAATATTTATTTATGCAACTAGGTAACTTTTTATTCCTTACCATCCATTGCTGCTAACTGACCACCTTTCCTCATTACTGAGTTACAGGATACTGAATTGTGAAGATATCACTCTGGACCAGTGGTTTTCTATGAGGAGTGATTTTACTACCCAGAAGATACCTGGCCATGTCTGGAGAAAATTTTGATTCACAAACTAGGGGAGGAGGTGTAAGTGTTACAGGCATCTAATTGGTAGAGGACAGGGATAACTTTAGATATCCTATAATGCAGAGGACACTTCCCTAGAATAAAAGATTCTCTCGCTCAGAATATGAATAGTTCCAAGGTTGAGAAACTCTGCTCTAGACCAGCACATTCCATAAAACTACTCAATGATCCTTGAGCTTTCTATTTGCAGTACTGTTCTGATCACTCCTATTCATCCACTGGAAAAGAGGGGAATCCTTTGCCCCAGATAGCATGAGTTGGCTGAATACCTGACATCAGAGAGATGGGATTGCCAGTAGTGTCTTAGTCACAGACTCACAGCCCAGGGGAGGAGGACACCAAATGTCATGTAGGACCACACAGGGGTTATATTCAGGAATAAAGTGACTAAACAAGGTCTATGAGAGGTAGTAAAAAGAGGGTGAGGTGTTCCTTGGTTACCGCAGAAAGATGTGATGAGTTGGTCTGAATAATTCTGCAGGCTGGCAGGGAAGTAAAACTCATACATTAAGGACTAGGAGGGATGCTGATGGGACTGATATGGGAACTAGCCAGGCAGGGAGTTTTTTCTGCTGGATGGCAGATATAGCTTGTGAGATCAGAACTCATGGTTAGGCCTTTGGAGACTTGATTAAGATATCAAGGCAGTACAATCATAAAAGCCTCATATACCATTAGATCTCAACACATGCAGAGACTGAGACCAGCCAATACAAACCTCATTTTATGTGCTGAGGAGACTGAGGTCTGTGGAGAAGTTTGGAGTTTTCCCTATAGGAGTCAAATAGGATCAAATTCTCTTTCATCAAAACACAGATCTTCAAGGAAAGTTCAAAACTGAGATCTCCTGCTTAATATCAATAATCCATTTTAACACTACATTATTGACTAGGTACCTATTTTCCCATCACTTTAAATAAAATAATTGGATTGCATTACACATCAATTTCAACCCCTCACCTACTTTCCTATATCCCCTCAGTATAGAATTATATATGATACATAAGGGTCAGTGCAGGGGTACTTTGGCTTTAGTATTTTCATTGTCTCTTTTTATGGAACTCATTTTTCTTAGCTGATTTTTTTTCTCCATAGTTTTCTTGACAATTCTTCCAAATTTTTAGGAACTCATTTTATACTAGGCAAAAACAAGAGCTACATGTGAAGTACACTATTAAAATGCATTTCTAACAAACATTATGGCAGAAATGATTCATATTATGATGCTCTGATATCTTCTTTATTAATCAGCAGCACCAGATATACACATCCCCTTTAATAATACTTGCATGCATTTCAAAACATCTGCAGATGGTTCTGATAGTTCATAAATTGTATTTGGAATAAAACGAGACTTGCTGCACATTGCTTTTTGTTTAAAAATGTTGCATTGACCTACACAATTTCATATATATAAAGTTTTAAAAATGGGCAAAATTAATTTATATTTTACATCAAGATAGAGGTTACATTTGGATTGGGTAGGTATGGAGTACCTAAAAGGGGGACATCTGAAGTGCTAGAAATAGTCTCTTTCTTGACCTGAAGGCTGGAGATATAAATGTACTCAATTTTTAAAAGTTCATTTAGCTATACACTTACAACTTGTGCATTTTTCTCTATGTACATTATCAATAAAAAGTTCAAAACTTTTTTAAAATGTCAAATTGTGTGTTGGGAATATAAATTTTTCCTACATAAAACTAGACTAAAAATCATTGTACTCAGAGAAATATACTTTCTCTGAAGTTTAAGTACTACAACCAACAGCTTGTTCAGTTGGAAAGTGTTAATAGGGGGAATATTCTGCACAAAATGTCTGAATTTTTATCAAGCTTTTGTACCCTCATAGTTCTTGACAGATTCTGCAGATAGGAGATGGCCTACATAAATGGGGGGGGAGGAGAAGAGTGCATGGAGAGGATACTGGGTTATTTGTCCCCAACACTCACAGGAAGGAAACTAGTGCAGGTTCTTGGATGAAGTTCTGTTACAAAGGAAATTTCAGAATAAGAAATTAGTGTGTATGCATGACCTAGTAATTGGCAATATCTAAATATCTAAAAAGAGAGAAAGAAGCGTCAACTTACATGGGCCATGGTTTCAAACTGGTCAGTCCTCAAGATTCCTGTTAGAGAACTGCAAAGTCCAGATAAGACAAATCTGGAAAAAGAGAAAGAAGACATGAAACCAGATGTGCCTCAGAGCCCCCCAAATTACTTATGTTAATATGAGCTTTTTTTTCCTGCCACTCCTGCTTTCAAACTATTCCATACCACTACACCCACACTGATTTCATATCCACACAAACTGGAGAAAAATTTAGAGAACATGAAGAAATCCAAACCCTGAAGAAACCCGATGAACAATACTGAACTTGGTGTAGAACAACAGAAATTTCTGCATGATTTCTGACTAGTTCCCCATCTGGCAATGTGGTCCCAACATGAGATTATTCAGATGTGTCCTGAGCAGTTCCTTCTCCCTCTAGCATAGCTTCTCCGGGCCACAAAAGGCCCATATTAATCAAAAAGAACCTCCTTTGAGTCCCAGGATTCTGCCTTAACTTACTAAATAAAGACTAAAAACCACACTGATTGAGCCCAGAAGCTCCCGCCACTGTAAAGCTGCGTTTGTCCAGCCAGGGCAACTCGCTACTCTGTTTCCCAGTCAGGACTTCTCATACCCTGACATCCTTTGTCATTATGACAACTGCAGTTAGTCAAAAACTAACAGACATTGAGAACTTTGATTTGATGAAGGCATTATACACACTACTCATTGATCCTCAGCACTGTTCTGCAATGTAGTTCTTCTCTCCATTCAACAGGAAACTGATGCTCAGGGCTCAAATAATTTCTTCAAATTCAGTTCTTAGATGCCAGAGTTTTGTTTTGTTTTGAATCCACATTTCTCTAACTAAAAAGCCATCTTTCAACTTTAATTTTTGCCTCTGAAGACTAGGATTTCCAATTTACTGAGAGAAACCTATGCAAGGGCAATTAACTATAAAACAGAAATAACCTTTCAAAAGATACTATTCACTACTAAGTAAGGTGATATGTATTAAAGCAACCAAAAGAGTCTTTTACAGCGACTGAATTGATAAAGATATTTGCAGAAGTATGCTAACAGATATGGTTTATGATGAATAAAAGTTGAAACAAATATAATTGGAGAAATGGTTAAACAACTGAAAATCATGCAAAAGATTTTCAAAAGTGATTATGTTGACACAGGTTTGATGAAATGGGTGAAGGTACTATATTAAAAAAAAACACATGTGGCATTAAACTATTCTGACAGAAAAAAAATCACACATATGCCTAAAAGGAGCAGTTAAAATATTTACAGTCACAGCCAGTGATACTCATCACCATATTAAATATAGTATGAGCTAAACTACACAAATACTCCAAACCAAACAAGACTTTCCCAGTTCAAGGTTTTCTTCCCATCTTCTGTTAAACTAAGAAAAGAGCTTAGCACTCTCTAAAAACAGCTATTTTTCCTGAGTGACTTTTTAACTTCAGCTTCCAATTCATGAACCAACTATATGATTTAGTTTGCTCATGTATGTTGGAATACTATCTAAAAAGAATGGCAAAAGACCTAGACTGATGTTTTTTTAAGTACTGATTGCAGTCTCATGGTTGTCTCCTTTCACATCTTCCTAACAAATGAGCTTATTTTGCTTCTGACCCAATCCTTTGGCCTAAGATACCTATGAAGCCCTACAATAGATGCTGAATCTTCTTGTCCTACTAGTCTACTAATTTGCCATAGAATATCACTATAATTAAAAATTTAAGGCATAAATCTTACTGTATAAAATCCATTTCCCTCCGCAGAAACTTTGTAACCTCAGCATAATCTGGACATAGCTCGACAGTGCTTGCTGACATCAGATTAATATATCTTCCATCATAATGATAACTAAAACAGGAAGAATTTTTAAGTATACATAATGATAAGACTTGATATACTGTTGCAATTACTAATATAGGCTTTGCTGTCAGAATTCCAGGATATAAATCTCAGCTCTGATAGTTATTAACTGTGTGATCTTTGATGTGTTACTTAATTTTTCAGCCTTAGTTTCTTCCTATGTAAAATGGTAATAATTACAGTTCTATATCAAAGGGTTGTTATGTGGATTAAATATACATATAAAGCACTTAAAAGTAGCAAATAAAAACTTAATAAAGGGAAGCTATATATGAAGAATCCTATATACTCTTCTTCCTATAACTATTAAAGACAATTCTCTTGTTTTTTTCCATAAAAAATGAGCTTCTTAGCCCTGCACTTACAATGCTAACTATTAAGTTTCAAAGCCTTGTGTTGATAGGCAATTCCTCCTGATTAACAAGAGTTTACAAAAGGTGGGGTATGTGAATGGATGAAGTAAATGTGCCAAAATCCACACAATTTTTGGATTTGGGTTTAGGTGAGAAGAAAAAATATGGAATTACAACATAATAGTAGTAACTAAATCTACTGAGCACTTATATGTCTCAAGCATTACCTGAGAACTTTACACATGTTCCTTCATTTATTCATAGCAATCCTATATAGTAGGCTCTATCATTATCCCCCTCTTACAGATGAAGGAACTGTGGCACCAAGAGATGAAATAAATTGCCCGAAGGTCACCCATTTCTAAGTGACAGGTTTAGGATTAGAACCCTGATAATTTAGTTCCATAGCCCAAACTGTTGAGACTAAACTAAACTGCTTCTCTTAAAACCACATAAATATGTAGCCTGAAACAAACTCGTGGTGTCAAAAACTTCAAACCTCTTCTCAAATTTCTACTAATGTCTTTGCTTCTCTTCTACTAATGACCCCTCCCTTGTTAACACAGACCTTCATTAAAAACCCTACCTGTCACTGATCACATCTTCTCCTGCTTTGACCTCAGGGCAGTGGGGAAGATCAAAAGCCACCTAGTATGAGTCCAACTAAACTAATCTCAACAAATCACAGCCTACACAGTAAAGCTCTGCAGTTAGCCTTGCTTGCAGACCATTCAAGGGTCTAGAAAGCAGCAGCTCACAGGAGAAATTAAATGACTGCCAAATGTTCATGTGAATACCTACTTGAGTAGGAGGGGCAAAGATTCAAGTCCATAGATGTTTCAGGTGTAAAGCCTTACCAGCTAAACACTACAATTTAAGGGATGGCTGTAAATGCAGTCCAACACAAAATCATAAATTTACTTACAACGTTATGAGATTTTGTGTGTGTGTGATTACATGTCACAATGTATTTAATGCATGGACCAAGACAATTCTTTTTCCAGTGTGGCCCAGAGATGTCAGAAGATTGGACACCCCTGGACTACATGGAACAATCCTATATAGGCAGACTTATTTACTCAAGACAGGGAGGAAATTCCACAGAAACTATTGGAATGTGATGGAGGGGAGAGAGAGAAGGAGACACTCTCTTATAAAGGACTGAGTACCAACTGAAGGATTCTGAGGAAGAGGGGAATATTTCTGGAATGTTTGCTATGTCTGAGGAGAGAGTAGCAGTAGGGATTAATTGGAAGTTGAATGCTATAATAAAACAAGAGTAGTTTAGCAATTGAGTATCTCCAGTAATAAAATAAAAATAGCAAACTGAAAAGAAAGCTGTAATCTCTCAGAGAGAAAGTCATTATGGCATTTTACAGTTGCTGCAAGACTTGAGTATGTGGTCGGCAGTTAGATAGACATGAGCAGAGCAAGGACGAGCCAGGTACAAAAGGTCACCACTGCAAAAGCCCCAGGTACCTAACAACAGGGAAACTGAGAAAACAAGGACCTTGCCCACAGGATAACCTCTCATCCCCCAGAATATCACTTGTCATTTGGTTTACACCCCTTTTCCTTTCATATCACCAGTCAGGTGTTTTGGACCCTTTCCTGACTTTTCCCTTCCTTGGCATTCAGTTTAGACTCCCTTAGAGGGGGAACCAAGAAGGGGGCTAGAAAATAGCCCTTAAGCATTAAGCCCCCAGGACAATGAGGCTCTGACCTGTATCAAATACACCTAGGCTTGAGGTGTGTTTCAGCTCCAGGACCACAAAAAGCAAAAAAAAAGAAAAAAACAGACAATCAACACTATGGCTGACATATTGACTGATGACCCCTGCCATGGCATGGACCAATCAGTAGAGACCATGACCTTGAAAGGACACAGAGAAATCTGGTAAATGTTCTATGAGGACCCTCCCCTAAGACCTCCATATGAATACCCTCAAGATAGAGGGCCCTTGGCTTACTCTATGGAGCACCCTTGAGCCTTTCCCTTTAACCCCCAGCCATGTTTTCCTTGACTCTTTCTCCTAAGCCCCAAGGGTCCCCCTTTTTTGCTTCTGTAACTTGTTTCCAGAGCCCATGTCTTCTACAGTTCACTACTCCTATCTTTGGGACTTTCTAAATAAACTTTCTCTTATAGTAGAGTCTTGGCTCTGAATTCTTTCTTAGCCAGAACTAGAGTACCAAGGTTGCTGAACCAAGATCAGGTCTAACACCACCAGTCTAACTAACACCTGGTGCCTTCTCCCTTCCAATGTTTCCCAATTTTGCAGCTGGCTTTATCTGTCTCTACTCCCCCAGCCTGATTAATGACAGGGCTGGTTTTTCTCTTTGGAGTCCAACCAGATTTTCCCTTTTCATAAAAGCAAATATTCCCATGTCTGGAAAAATAAAAATTACATTTCATGGAACAAAGGGAAAACCGAAACTCATCTCAAGATGAATATGTATCTACTGACTTATATCGATAGATTATATATGTTATATATATGATATATATTCTTTCTCTCTCTTTTACTAAAAATCAGCACGTTTGGGGAAGGAAGCGGGAATCTAGAGACAATGTGCCTTTCCTGGAGCTCAGCCCGGCGGGCTAGCAGCCTCGCTCCTACATTTGCTCCCAACATCCACCACACATTTAAGCCGATGGAAATCTGGGAGCCTGGGGTAAGGCCGACACTTCGTAGTATCATAAAGGCCAGAGAGCAAAGACCAGGGCTGGACTCCGACTCTGAGCTCAAGGCACTTACCTTGGGAGGAAGCCCTACTTAAGCTATGGTTCTGCGATCTGCGTTGATCTCAGGACTGCATCTTTTTGAAGGCGGCCTTCACTCTGGGGTTCATACATTTATCACAGAGCCATTCTGGGCCACTGGATCTGTGCGGTCCTTACGCGAAAGGGCAGAGGACGCATCAGGACTCCCAGGGCCCAGTTACCATCACAAACTCCATAATGACTGCAACACGGTTCACAAATGTGCGAAGGCCCGCCGCCCCCCACGCCGCCCCCCACGCCGCCCCCCACGCCGCCCCAGAGTTCTTTTCCTCCACGTCCACGACCAAATCAGCTCCGTGGGAGACACAAGCAGGGAAGCCCATAGACAACTACGTGCAAGAGGCCTGTGGGAAATGTAGTCTCTGGTAGGGAGAGCATGGTCTCCGCCCCCAAAGGGCTGCCGGGAGTAAGCAAAGGCGGGGCCTAGCGCGAGCACAAGCAGACGGACTGGTAGGGAGGGGCTTCAAGGCAGTCCGGGACAATATTCGGTACTGTCAGCAAACTCAGGATTGATTGTGTTAGTCTCTGAAGAAAGCCCTACCAAGGTTGAGAAAGTAGTCTTGGCTCCAGCAGGAAGCTAACACGTGATTTGTGTTAGGCACACAGACGTTACACCTTAATCCAAAATTAGCCCTAGATATATAACACAAAAATACAAAACTTCTAGAGAAAATCTGTGTGACTTGGGGTTTGTTTAGATACAATACCAAAAGAACGGTCTGTTTAAAAAAAATGCTAAACTTCACTAAAACTTAAAAATTTTCCCCGTGTAAAAAACACGGTTAAGAGAATGAAAAGAGAAACCATTGATTAGAAGAAAATATTTGCAAATACCTAGCTATATAATTTTAATCCAGAGTATATAAAGAACTCTTAAAACTCAACAATAAAAAAATAAGCCATTTGAAAAATGGGTTAAAGCTTTGAGCACACATCTTACCATAGAAGACATACAGATGACAAATCAGCATGTGAAAATATGCTCAACATAACTTTTCATTAAGAAACTGCAAATTAAAGTGACAGATATCATTATCTTCATTTGGGCTGCTATAAAAAATTATCACGAACTGGGTAGTGTAAGCAATGTTTATTTCTAATAGTTCTGAAGGCTTCCCAATAGTTCAAGATCAAGATATTGGCAGATTCGGCATCTGGTGAGAGCTTGCTTCCTGGTTTTTAGGTGGTCATCTTCTTTCTTGTTCACTGGCAAGAGCAAAGGGGGTGGAAGCACACTCTCCTGTTTCTCCTTATAAGGGCACTAATTCCACTCATGACAACTACTAATAAGGTGTTGTGTGTTAAAGCAACCGAAAAATCTTTTTATAGTGACTGAACTGGGAGATCTAAAAGATTGATAATGCCCTAGGCATCAGTCTAAAATGGCTGAAGTAGCCCTCAGGACCTAATTACTTTCCAAAGGCCCCACCTCCTAATAACATTATATTGGAGGTTAAGCTTTTAACATAGGAATTTTGTGGGAAAATAAACATTCAATTGATAACAATCCAGCTATAAGAATGGCTAAAATTTTTAAAAATGTATAACTCCGATTGCTGTTAAGTATACGGAGCATCAGGAGTGATTTCTCATTCATTTCTGAAGGGAATGCAAAATGGTAGAGCTACTTTGGAAGATAGTTTACTGATTTCTTATAGATCAATAGCAAGTCTTTGATCCAGCAATTAAATGGTAATTCTCAAAAAAAGTATTAAAGAATTAATATGTGCAAATGAATATTGCTAAGTTAAAAAAGGTAGTATAAAAAGTCTGTATATCCCATTTATATAAAATTCTGAAAAAAGCAAACTGTAGAGAAGTAAAACAGTTTACTGATTGCCAAAGGTTTTAGGATTTTGGAGAGCTGAATATGCTGAAGCATGGGCAAATTTTTTAGAATGGGGAAACTATTCTGTACTATGATAGTGGATACATGACCATATGCATTTGTCTGAAACCATAGAACATCACAGCACAAATAGTGAATCTTAATGCATACACAATTTTTTAAAAATCAATTAGGAGACTGATCCAAGAAATTCCATGATGAAATTCAGATAGTGACAAATGAATATAACTATTAAAGATGTATGATAAATGTCACAGAAGACTATGGGAGGTAAGGAGAAGCTGACAAATGTATATCAATGCTATGCTTTAATTAATAAAATTGTTTTTCATCAGTGTATGGGTAAAGAATTCTGAAGCCACTGCACATGTATATGGACATGAACAAACAAATAAATGGATGACAGTAGAAACCGAGCTTCTCTGTCTTGAAGTGGGAGGTTCCAGAACAGTAAGGGGGAAAGGCTAGAACAAACTGTGTGTTACTAAATTCAAGTCAGAGAAATCACAGAACTCATTTTTAGCTTAATATAATACATGCACACTTATAAATAATTACAGATATGTATATGTACTTGAGTTAGTATACATAAATATAAGTTCTAGCTATGTTTGCTGAGAGGGCCTATAAGTAATGAAATCCCAGAAAAAATTAGCAATCCCTGAGCCCAGATCTTAGTATCTAACAACATTCTACAGTGAAAGGAACCAGGGCTCCTTGGAAAAATGGCTGAGTCTAGGGCTGGCCAGGGAATATATAAAACTGGAATATGTTGTTATACCAGAAACTAAGGAAGTGCTCAAAAAATAAAAAGATGGGAGTATGCCAAAAAGACATAGGAGCCAACTGAGAGAGTTCACAATAGCCAAAACTAGAGTAATATGAGCAGTAGATGGATAGATACATGATACATAGGTAGATACGACAGTATTGAATTATAATCAAACATTTCCAGCCAAGATGGAGGTATACTTAGACTTGATTCACCTCCTCACACAACCATAAGAAAGATAACAACCAATCTAAAAACAAATAACCAGAACTGTCAGAAAATCGAACTGTATGGCAATCCAACAACCAAGGATTTATAGAAGAAACATTCATCCAGACAGGTAGGTGGGGTGCATAGTACATGGTGTGGCATGGCAAGGCAGTGGCAGGTGAGGCAACTGTGGTGGTGGCCCACTGAACGGATGGTCCCACATTAATGTGCAATGGATGAAAACTGGGAGGGACAACTGAGGAGCAGTTGATCCCAGGCCCAAGCCAGACTGTGCAGCCAAGGGTTCCAGCAATGGGAGAACAAAGCCTTATAACTTCTGGCTGTAAACCAGTGGGAACTGGCACAGCAGAAGAAACTACCAGTCTTTCAGGAGAGTCCGTGTATAGTGTCCACAGGATCGTAGAATGTCTGCAAACCCATCCGCTCTAGGAATCAGCACCAGAGCAGCAACTTGAAGGGTGCCAGATTGTCGGGAGCTGACCAACAGCTGACCTTTGACACAGTTGGGTTGAGTGAGATGCATCTGCACAGCAGAGGCAACTGTGGTCAGATCTGTGTCTATCTCCTCCTGTATGCCTGTCTCTGCTAGCAATAGGTGGTGGGATTTTTAGATACCTGTGTGTTATAACAAAAAATCTGCACAATGCCTCTGATTATGCACAAAATGACTTACTGACCACAGAATAGAGACCCCTAGCAACCCGAATGTTGCTTGCTTCCCCCACCTGGGAAGTTAAGGACAAAATTAAACTATGGGCAGACCAGCAGCCAGAACACTGAAGGAAGCTGTTGCTAGGAATGTTTCTTAGAGAGTCACCACCTGAAAGCTTATGATTTATTAGAGCCACTACCCCTCCCATACCCTGGACAGGAGTGTAAAGAAGTAAGGAGTTCTAGCTGAAAATAATAATCTCAATACATGGAAACGAACACAAAACATTCCCCCACAAGATGTATAAATCAAAAAACCTAGGTAAAAAACCAGTTACCTAACCGAGACAAATTTAACTTCAATAGATAATAGTTGATTTCTATATATCTATAAATCACCCCTTGCATCCTTTTAATTTAAACCAATCCCTAGAATCTTAATAGATGCCTAGTTACTAATTGGCACCTGAAAGTTTGTGCCCATATAGCTTCGTTGGCTGTCTGATTAATGACCCTCTGGGTCAAAATAACCTTTGTTTAATATGGTTGATCTGTGGGACCTCCTGTACTTTTTGGTTATTTCTTTGTTTAACATGATTGATCTGTAAAACCTTCTGTGTTTTTAGAAATTATTTCTGTGGTAACCGTTTCTGTTTTAATCATCACACTATGCATTGAATGTTGTATAACCTCCCCCATAAAAATAAAGATTGATTTTTCTCGGCAAGTCAGTTGGGCCCAAAAGGCCTGGCTGTCCTCTGGCACCCTACCGGGTGTCTTGCTTCATTCGATTTGCCTTAGCTGTGCATCCTTTGGGGACCGTGAGACCCCGGTGAGGCTGGACCCCAGCACCAGATGCTTATGGGAATTAGGGGAAGAGACTGAAAATGGGGCAAGAATCAAGCAAGGTGCATTGTTCTCTCTATGACCCCTCCCCACATACAGTGCCACAAAGTGGCAAAGTGGGCTGTCCTGACCAGGTCAATACCTAAGGCAGGTATTCGTCTGTCTTACAACATACCAGATGCACCAAGCATGGGAATCAAAGCAGCTCTACCTAATATGCAGAAACACAGGGAAGTTGCCAAAATGAAGAAACAGACAGATAAGGCCCAAATGAAGGAAGGGATCAAAACTCCACAAAGAGAACTAAGTGACACAGAGACAGCCAACCTATCAGATGCACAGTTCAAGGTACCGGTGATCAGGATGCTCACAGAAATGATTCAGGGAAGCCACAAAACCAAGAAAGAAGTGAAGGCTATACAAAGAGAAATAAAGAAAAATATACAGGGAACCAATAGTGAACAGAAGGAAGCTGGGATTCGAATCAACAACTTGGAGCCGAAGGAAGAAATAAACATTCAACCAGAACAAACAAACAAGAATTCAAAAAATTGAGGAGAGGCTTAGGAATGTATGGGACAATTTTGAACATTCCAACATCTGAATTATAGGGGTACCAGAAGGGGAAGGGGAAGAGCAACAAGTGGAAAACTTATTTGAACAAATAATGAAGGAGAACTTCCCTAATTTGGCAAAGAAAATAGACTTCCAGGAAGTCCAGGAAGCTCAGTCCCAAAGAAGTTGGACCCAAGGAGGAACACACCAAGGCACATCATAATTACTTTACCCAAGATTAAAGATAAGGAGAGGATCTTAAAAGCAGCAAGAGAAAATGAGACAGTTACCTAGAAAGGAGTTCCCATTA